CCCGAAGCCTCGGGCCGGGAGTCTCTGTTGTGGGTCATCTCAGGACGTCACTCGAATGTCTCTCATAGCTCCTCATGAAGCCAAATTTGAATTCACTAGATCCAGATTTTTATTTGAATCTGCACCAAATCACACAAACTCATAAATATCACTCCTCTGAATATTTATTTAATTTCTCAGAATTTGGGTGGAAATTAAAATGCATCATCACATAAACTGTGTTTAATCTTTGTTTCTTTTTTCTGAAGTTGTAGTTTTTGATCGACACCGTCCACATGCACAGTAAAAACATGTTGCAGCATCGATGTCAAAGAGACGACGTACGAACATTTAAAGGACTTGATGACTCTCCCTCCCTCTCTCTCTCACCTCATCCTTCAGCTTCGTCCCTCTCCCTGTCTCTCTGTCCTGCAGTAGTTGAAAACGTTCTTGACGTCCTCGAAGTTACTCGCTTCTGTCGAGAGCATTTCGATGTCGTTCATTGTCGTGCGGTAAAATGTAGATCTGTTCCTTGAGGGTTTGTACGATAAACACAACAGGTGCAGGAAAGTGACTCTGAATCTGGATCGAAACTAAAAGTAACTTCTGGACCAAGCTCGTCTTTCTTTGTTTCTTCTCGGTCGGACAAGAGTGAGAAAAACGAAAATTTAACCGGCACCAGTGACGGTTTTCAGCTTCCTCTACTTTTCTGTTCGATACTTTAACGTCAGGAGCAAGAAGAACGAGTAAAACTTTGTGGCGACCATTTTCTGAATCAAACATGAGGCTTCGCTCAGAGTTCAGGTTTGCAGACCTTTGACCTGATATTCGTGAAGCGCGTGACGATGCCGTGAAGCGAGTGATTGCATTGACGTTCGGGTGTAAGAGATGAAAACGTGCGTCTATTCGTGTCTTTGCATTGACTGTGTTTGTTATCTCATCACGTATAAAAGTCGCTTCACGTTTGAAGTGAACGCAGCATTAGTTCCTCCCTGAGGGGACGGAGGGGGGCGGGGCATCGAGCTGACGCGGGCGTTTCATTCAACACACACCCGATGATAACGATGATAATGATAATTAAAACTAATTAAAACTAATTAAATAGCTGATTAAATCATTGATTCCACTCGTGTTCAAACTTCACTGACAGACACTGTCGCTGTCTGTGTTGTGTTCAGGTTCTTGTTGTACTGTCGGTCGTAACGCTGCAGCCACATCGAGTTCATCCCGTCATGTCGTCTGTCACGAGCTGCTGAGTCGCTGCACTGATGTAATTGGGGATAAAGTGCCTTGCTCCAGGGCACGTCGGCAGCAGATGGTTTATGTGAAGAGAGGAAGGACACTTCTCTCTCTCCTCTGATGCCAGTTCTCTCAGGCGGAGGATTTAGGGGCGTTCAAGACGGGGGGGGGGGCGGGGTTTCTGGAATATGAATGACTTGTGTTTTCAAACCGTCTTCATCAGGTCACAGTGGTAAACACATGGGCAGTGACTGTAAACAAAGATGGACGACGCCCCTCAGGCTCCTCCCACTGTTCAAACATGCCGCCAATATACCCCAGATGTGGGCGTCGCCATCTTGTGTCGAATATGTCATTTTGAGCTGCTTTCAACCAATCAGGAGTCGTCTCGGTCCATTCTTTATATCATCAGATAACCAATTAGAGAGAGAAAAGGTTTAAGAAGAACTGAACAGAAGCCACGTTTGAGAAACGTTCATCCAGCAGGTTAACACCTGTCCTGCAGCCAGACACCAGGGGGCGACCAAGATGAGTTGGCTTCACTTTAGGGAGCTGCCATGTCGTCCATCTTTATTTTCTGTCATTGGTCGAACCAGTTTAGTTTCCTGCAGCACACACACACACACACTCACACTCACACTCACACACACACACACACACACACACACACACACACTCACACTCACACACACACACACACACACACACACACACACACTCACACTCACACACACACACACACACACACACACACACACTCTCTTGTGTAAATACTGTGTTGCTGAGGTTTACAGCAGATGTCTGTTAGTGGACGAAGGAAAACTTGAAGAAAAACATTCTGTCGTCTTTGCATCGTTCATAAAACTTAAAACACATAAAGACTCGACGTGTGCGTGAGATGATTAACCTGAGCAGTGGTGCAGGAGTGTGTGTTTCCTCCTCACAGCTTCTGTTTGAAACGTGTTTATTGAGCCGCACGTCGCTCAGAGGGCGAAGGGAAGAATCTGCCTCTGTCGTGGCTGTTGTGTGCAGACCTGGGATAAACCGCAGCTGAGACTCAGTCCTCGTCGTTCCTCCTCCGTCCATTTCACAGCACTTACTCTGCTTCTGCCATCGAAAAAACCCAAAGAGGGAGTGGAGACGTTCCGTCAGATACGTTCATTGAAGTGAAAATAAAGAGGAGCTGATCTCAGAGCCCGTGTGTTTGTCCCAGGTCTGGTGACGTTCTGCTGGGTTCAGACAACAGTGAGTTGCCTTTAAAGTCAGACGTAGTTACTGAGGACGCCTCTCAGACACAGAGCGGACATTTGACAGAGACGATTCATCTGCACCGAGGAAAATGATCAAAAATCAAACTGCAGATTGGACCTTTAGTCTTTAGCAGAGAAATCCTGAGGACGCAAAGCAGAAAGATTTATTTAATTGACTGTTTTGTCTCTGCTGTGTCTCAGGACGTCTCTGTCCTCTCATGATTAAACCACATACTTCATTTATTAAAGGACACTTTCAGTTGTCCCTATGAATGTCAACAAGGTTTATATAAAGCACTCAGCGCTCATCCCTCCACCAACATTTAAATTAACTGGATCCAGATTTTTAAATCCCACACACTCATAAACATCCGTCCTCCAAACATGTAAACGTGGACGCAGCTGCAGAATGTTGACATATTCAGGTTCATTGAAAGTCACTGTTTATTTTGACCTGACATTAAAACTCGTCTCCGGAAAAGAATCGGTGCAGATCTCTGACGAACGTCGCTGAGAGTTTGGAGTCGGGCTTCACGTGACTCGGTCTTTCTTT